TTTCTTGAGTTTGCACTGAGCTTGCCCCCTTGATTTTTTTTTTTTTTTGGTTTGGTTTGGTTTGTTTGTTTATTTTTTCCTGAGATTTGCCATTTCTGTCAAAATATGTAGGCAGGTCTGGGACTTTGTTTTCAGAACTTGGGAGAGACTGGGATTTGAAGGATTACATGGATCACCCTTACTGTATATATATGCTATGTATAATACAAAGCTGAATTTTTCACCTTTTGGCATCATGTATGGTTTAATTCTTACCACTGTGACATTATTCTTCTACTGCAGAATGATGCACAGTTTTAGAGCTTTGGTGGAGGAGGGAATGTCTTTTCCTGTGATGTTGCTGATATCTTTACTTGGGGATAAAATCATGAGTACAACTCCTGGATAGCTCAATCTCATTTGTCAGATTCCAAACTCCAGAGTGATGTCGATGAAAGAGACGTGGAACTAAATAACACCCCCAAATTATCTTGTGTAAGTGCCTGTTTTCATCAGTCCAGTGGGCAATCTCTCTCCCTCACATCTGGGAGTTACACTGCACTGCTGCTGTGGGGAGGTCCCACATCTCCACAAGCTGTCCACCTCTGCAGCATCTCTCCTCAGGTTTGTGTTCCTGAGGTGTGCTCCTGGCTGGTAGCTCTGCCTCAGGCCCTTCTTGTACTCAGCTCAAATGAGACAAGAAAGGACAGTGGAATTATTCCAGCCTCCTCCTGATTCAGCAGGGATTTTTAAAAATGTACTGTTTTAGTTTTTCTTCTAGAAGACTCCATGCATGTTTTTCCCATTTGCAGGGGTTTGGATTTGGTAAGCCTTGCTGATGGGCACACCTTTTCCTGTTTGACACACAAGTGCAGGATACATATTCTATTTGTTTCAGCACCTTTGTAAACCTCATTTCAGGAAGATGAGCTGTGGAGCTGGTGCTGGATGAGGAGTAAATGTGATGAATGGCATTCTTTACCCACATGTTCAGGCAAGCATTCAGGTTTGTTTCATTTGCATGGAAGTAGAAGGGTATGAACAACAACTTGAGTGCTGCTTTCTCTTCATTATTCACCTTGTTAAGTCCCTATTTTGCTGTGTTTGCCTTTCCTATAATCACATATGTTATTCTTACCTACACACGCTTTGGATGTGCCTTGATAGGCTCAGCTCCTGGTGTAAATTTTGAGTAACTGCCTTGAGTTTAGTGGAGCTTTTATTTAGCTACAACTCTCTCACAGGTCATGGAGTTAGGGCAGTGTAAGCCAGAAATGAATCAGGAGCAGTGTTCTGGTAGCTCTTAACCTCCCAGGGACAAATGCTGGTCCCAATGCCTTTCCTGTGTTATTGCCTTAAATACCCCCCAACACAGCCTGACTCTGCTGCCTCTTGCCCAGGGCTGTTCCACAGGAAGGTAAAAGGAGGAACGAGAGGCATGCCCTGGAAAACCACTGCAAATCTTCCCAGCATTAAACTCTGAGTTTTTACCCACCCTTCTCATGTGACTTTTAAATTGGCCACAGCCAATTACATTGAAGGTGAGGCCATGCCCTGCACATTACACCTGTGAGTTCAGAAGTGACAGATCTTTCTGGGGAGCTTCCAGCAACAGCAAACACAGAGCAACCACTGGTGAATGAATGGGTGAATGAATGTTTTATTGTTGGGCTGTGTAATGCTATTATTGTGGCATGGGACAGGAGTATTTGATGTTGTGCTGGTCACTAATTCATGTGTGAAGCCTCAAGCATTGATCTGTGTGGATTAAATGCATGCTGGAGACGTTTTCTGTGCTGTGCCACTTCAAATTCTCTCTCATGATTCAACACATTCAGAGCAAATAATTTTCTGTTTCCCATTTGCCAGTGAATGCGTGCCATTTAGTTTGTAATTGGAACACAGTATGCTGTGTGTGTCTCTGCTAAATCATGAAAAGTGGTCCATTTTCTAAATTGCACAAGTATTTGTCACCTTTGTTTTAAAATGAGCGCCATAAATTTTATGGGGCATGTGAATATATGTATTAGTTTTCTTACACAGGTGAATAAGTCACACTGTGATCTGACATGGGCTTTATGATCCTGCTCAGGTTATGTTCTGTGCTAAATTTTGTCTGTTGCTTCTATATTTAGAATTTAGCTTTGATTTTTTTTTTTTAAGGAAACAAAAATATGGAAAAAGTAGGCATATCAAAAGGGCTCTGCTGTGCTTCTACATGTTTTTCATAAGCCAGGAGATGCAATGAGCTGTGGCAATTTGGCATGCTGGAGGTGCTTGACAGTCCATTGCGTACTAAATATGGTACATTTAAAAACTTTGATTTTACACAACTGCGAATCCACTTGATTAATGTGTTTTCTAGGGAGTTTTTAAATACTTGTATTGGCTGAGCAAAGTCCTCTAATGCTTAATGGGGCATGACAGTGGCCTCAGCATAGCTGTGATGTGGAATGTCAGCTGACAGGACAGACAGAAAGGGTTATGTTCCTAATCTTATGGGGGATGAAATGCAAATGAATTAATGGAACAGAATTCCTTCACACTTCTGGAAATACAGTATTTTTTTTCAGGTCAGCAAACATTATGAAAACCTTACTGTCTCTGCCTCTGAAGAAACATGTGCCCTTCAAAAAGTGAGAATGAAACTTCTCTATTTTTTTCCTTTACTGATACTACCATTTTTTCTGGAATATGTGGGATGTTCTTGGGGTTTTTTGGTGAAGAGGCTGAGGGAGGGAAATGGAGGCAATTTGCAAACAACGTGACTTAACATGATAGGAGTTAATCAGAGCTCCGGTGCCAAGCCAGCATTACTCAATAAAAGCACTGCTGCTCTTTCTGAGAGAATAAATATCTTTGTGCTCTTCAGCTGTCTCTGTATTTTGGTGGGGGGAGAAAAAGGGCTCAAAGAAATGGTGTAGGATTTCAGTCTGCCTATTATTTGTAATATACATGTCATTTGTAGTGGAAGAAGATGGCAAAGTGCAGTGAAAAGTGCCGATACAAAGTTGGAGTGGGGTTATCTGATATGCCTAAAAGAGCTTTTGGTAAAATTTTGTCACAGTTGCTCAAAGAAATTGAATTTAGGCCACTGCCAAGAACTGTTGAAAACCCCATTTTGGGCTAAGATCCTTTTTCTGATGTTAACTCAACAGGAGCTTTGTGAATTTGTGATGCAGGATTGAAACCAATGGGGAAACAGGAAATAAGAAACCTGGAAATGTTTAGAGCAGTTACTGGGGGCAGTGTGGTTGGGAGAGTGACTGTGGAGGGATGAACATCTCTTTTTAGTGCATTGGTCTGAGGGTTGCTAAACTGAGGTGTGGGCTGGTTTGCAGGAGCAATGTGAAAGCTGGCTGGAATAAGTACAAGGATTGCAGACAGATTGACCCTGATCTTTAACTTGTGTTCTCAAGGACCAAGCACATGGGTAGTGTGATCTTATCCTCAAGTGGAACTGTTGGTCTGTTTAAAACATGGCTCTGTGCTTACTGCTCTGGGTTTCACTGGTCTTACCTCAATATTGTTATTCATCAGTAAGAAACCAACTTGGCCAGAAATATGGATGCAAGATGCACTCTAACACTGACCACCTTTATTGTGGATTTTATCATGTGAAAGCTAGGCTTACTTTATACTTCAAAAAATGTTGTCAGCAATCTTGTTCTGTCACACATTTTCTAAGACTCAGAGACAATTTCTGTCCTGTTCTATCTCTTCTTGTCATCAAAAGCCAGATTTTCACAAGAGATAGTCACTCAGCAGGTTTTATTTTCACACAGACCAGTTTCCTGTTCATTGCTTAGGGCGTCATAGAGTGATTGTAATTTATGTCCATACTAAGGAGGCTTTGCAGGGGATTTAAGCAGATTTAGCATAGACAGGACCAGACAAAAAATATTTTGGCTTCCATTTTTGCAATTACACAATATGAGAAGGATTTTCTGAGCCAGGTGGCCAAGGAGTGGTGAAATCTACTCTCCTCCCTTATAAATTGAGGAGTTACCTCAGAGCACAAAAGTCTCATTAGATCTGGAAATTCAATGCCTTGATCTATCATAAATGTTTTAAGATTAATATGGAGGAGGCTGGATTTCTTTTAGTATTTCACAATTTTATTTTAGCCTAGATATTATTTCCCAATAGAGGAAGAGTTGTTTATTTTTGAAATATCACAAGTGGTGGAATATTGAGAATTGAGCAATCATTTTTTGATGCTTACACACAGACATCACCAAGATGCAGGGATACTTACAAAATGCTATGTTCAGGTAGAGTGACCATGAGAAGTTTTTTGATTGAACCTCAGTAATCAAAGGAAGGTGAGTGCATACCTAGCAGTTACCATGAGTGTATAATGAGGGAGGCATCCTAACTTTTGTCTTTGAAATGTATTGTATGATTCAGAGATGCTGGAGTGTATAAGACCACCTTCGTTAACTTAAAAACTATATTTTCTTGATTCAACTCTGTGTTTCCAGTGCTAATTAAAAGCACATCCTTTGACTCCTGGAGAGTTTCTTTGAAGTGGTGCAGCTTAGAACAGGCTGTGGTTCTGAATTTCTTTCATTCTCATTTGCTTATATTGACAACCAGTATAAATCTGAAGGCAAAAAAGTAAATTTGTTCTCCCTTTAATAGGACCACTCATGCAAGGGTGCTGGGATTAGATTTTAAATTGGCACTTTTTAAACCTTTGATACAGTTACAGACTCAGTGAGCCATGCTCACCTTTCCTACAGCTAGACCTAGCTGGAAATTAGTTTTCTCCTTTGTCAAAATATTTTCTAATAAACATTTAGCCTTTCTGCTAAAAACAGTGCAAAACACTCAATAACTAATATCGTTTAGCTGAAAATATACAGCTTTATTTCCTCTTCTAGAGAAACAGACAAAAAATAGCTAGGAAAAAGTAGACATCATCTGGGAATTCTGTTTTAAAGAAAACCTCGGGGAAGGAAAAGGAAAGAAGCCCCAAATGAGCAGTTTCATGCTTCTGATCTCCAGTACAGACATACCTCCTCTTTGCATCTCCTTCTTCACCTTCCTCAGGTTCCCTTGCATTATCTCTTCCCTATAAGAAAGAAAAGAGTTGAAGTCAGGTGGCAGATACATCCCTGCTGTTGTGGCTGTGAGAGAACTGCTCTTCCCTTGTGGCTCTTGTGACAATCAGGGAGGTCAGGGCAGGTGCCCTGAGCATCCTGCAAGGCAGCAGAGTGCAGCAGTCCCTGCTGGGTTTTTCAGGGGTTTGCGTGTCTGGATGTGCTGTCTCTGGAAGAGAGAAGTGAACTTCTCTCTGTGAACAAGGGTGAGCAGAGGCTGGAGGTGGTTTTGTGTGGCAGGGAACTGTGTGGTCATGAAATGGCTTTATTTTCACACTGTATCCTGGTTGTTTGAGTCTTCAGTGTCTCCAGGTTAGGACTGGAGTTTGTATTTAAATAGCAGTGCCCAGATATTTTAAAAAGATGTTTCCAGTATGAAACCCTTTTGTTAGTGAGAGTATTTTAACAATCTAGGCTTTAATATTGCTTCTCTTGGGAGATATTGCAAAGGAATTGCTGATTGTACTTACTTTATAATCATTGCTATGCAAACCAGCATAAATGCTACTCCTGCAGGCACCTGTGTCCTTCAGTCTCAGCAAGAACAGATCAATGCACCATGCAAGATGAGGAGGGTTGTGGAAAGCCAATATGCAGGTCTGGGACAGAATGAGACTTCTGAGGCAGTAGAATTGGGAAAGGAAGCATACAAATAAGGAGAAATTCCCCTTAGAGGTGAAATGCAGTCCCTGTCAAAAATAAGTTTCAGACCTCTGCTCAGAGCAGTGAGTGAAATGAATTTAAGGTGCAGAAGACCTGACCAGAAGGCAGAACAGCACCAAGATTTCTGGTTTTTTTAGCTAAGTTTGCCATTGACACTATTATAGTTGCCCAGCTGAGCCTGTTCTAACTTTAAATCCTTTGAGTAATTTGAAAAAAATCAATGTATAACTTGCATTCCCATTCAAGACTTATGGCGTTTGCAAAGCCCTCTGGGATGTGCTGGAAGAAGGGGACAAGAATGCCATACACACTCTGTTGGTTCCTCTGGGTGTATTCAGAGCAGATGGGGTTGCCAACTTGCTGGTTCATTGTGGAGGTATTTGCTCAGTAATGAATGAGGCAGAGGAACAGACTGAGAATTCTGCACTCCAGTACCCCACTGAGTGTGCTCAGATGGTAATGTGGAATGTCTGCTCTCTTCAGGGATGTAAAACACCACCATCTCAATGCAGAAAAACAGGCCTTTTAGAAAACTGGGCCTCTAGATACAAGGGAAATGGAGAAATGAAAAATTAAATCAAACCAGTTTTTTTCTCCCCTCAAATGAAGAATGATCTCTCCTTGCAAATTATGAGAAGCGTGAAAGATAATGCAGCAGCTGGGGACTTCTGTATGGGTCTAACTGGAGAGAGGACAACCAGCAGCAGCCAGTGATCCCAGCAAAAAGGTTGCTAATAATCACATCCCTGCATCCATCATGAGCAGCAGAAATTAGGGAAATAAGGAAGAAGATAAAAGTCATAATCTTCCTTACATCTAATGAAGTCCTCTTGGACATTTGATTTCTTCTGGGCTCTTCTAATGCATCGAGGTTCGTTCTTGGCGCTGCAGCTGTTACAGATCACTATTGCTTTGGCGTGCAAAGATAATGCCTAAGTTGGGTTTCATAGAGTGAAGACTGCAAAGAAACACAGTAAATAATCACATCCTCCAAAACCTCTTTTGTAAAAAGTAGAACAAAACTATCTTTTTCTCCAGAATTTATCTGACACTGCTGATGTTAGAGAAAGAAGGAAAACCCAGAATAATAGACCACACTGACAGTGCCTATTCTATTCTTTATAGAAATATGTGCCAAAATAAAATTATTTTTGGCCATATTCTGGCAAATGAGCAAACATTTAATCTTGGTGTCTGCTCACAGTTGTTTGACTTGGAGATGATTTGATCCAAATCTTCATTTAATTGTGTCAGCTGCCTCCAGGGCTCCCTGACCTCATGTGTGTGATGTGGAAACAGGTGACAATAGTTGCTGAGGGCTATGGCTGTAGATTCTCCCTTTAGTGAATTAATTTTAGGTGCCTGTAAGAATTTGTTTTGGATTCTCATGCACTGCTTCATTTTTAATGAGGATTGTGAACTTGGGCCAAAGAGGCACTTTCAAATATTTTTATTTTGGTGCTAAAAAACTGGATATAAGATGGTAATGTATGCTTGCAGCCCAGAAAGCCACCCTGCATAAAAGGAACATGGCCAGCAGAGAGAGGTTAATCTGCCCATTTGTTTCTGCTCTCTTAGACCCCTCCTGGTGTATGGTGTCCATCTCTGGAACACCCAGCCTAGGAAAGGCATGGACCTGTTGGGACAAGTCCAGAGAATGGCCACAAAAATGACCAGAGGGCTGGAGCACCTGTCCTGTGAGGAAAGGCTGAAACAGTTGGGTTTGTTCATCCTGGAGAAGGGAAGGCTTCAGGAAGGCTTTCAGTACATAAAGGGGATTTATAGGACAGGAGAGGCTCGTTACCAGGACCTGTCATGACAGGACAAAGGACATCAGTTTTAAACTGAAAGAGGATATTTCATATTGAGCATAAAGAATAATTTTTCTATTATGAAAGTTGGTGAGACACTGGCAAGGTTCCCCAGGGAAGCTCTGGATGCCTCATAATTGGAAGTGTTCCAGGCCAGGTTGGATGGAACTCTGAGCAACCTGGTCTAATGGAAAGTGTCCCTGCCCATGGCAGGCAGGTTGGAATCAGGTGACCTTCAAAGGTCTCCTCCCATCCAAACCATTTCATGATTCCATGGAATATTCCTATTAAGGGCAATGGGAAAGGGAGACAAAAGAAGGGGGATGAAATCTGTTGTAGAAAGCATTATAAAGGGTAAATGAGCATTACTATCAAGAGATTTGCCTTGGTGGTTGCACAAATAAAAAAATCTCTGAAGAGAAGGAATTCCTGCTCCCTGTTCCCCAGGAGATGTCTTTTGCTTAGGCAGAATAGGAGGAAGCTAAAGAAGAGAAACTCCTAGGGTTTTCTTTGTGAGGTCTAGCAAGAGGAAAGAAGTAGACAAGCAAGAGCAAACAGAAAAGGCAGCTGAGGATTCAGCCAGCAGTGCTAAGAGCAGTGTTACATTGCAGGTGTGTGTGCAGCCACATCTGCAACTGCCAAATCTGGTGAGCAAAGATTTCAGCCCTCTGGTCTCAGCTCAGCCAACACTGACACAGATTTTTCTTTTCCTGGTATGCAGGGAGCACATATCAGTTGTTTTGCTATCTAAAAAAAGGAGACTTCTCCTCTGGCAGGTGTGGAAATCCAAGTCCAAGACCTAAAGAAACCCTGATTTGAGAATGAGAGGTATAAAATCACTTCAGCTGCTGCAGGAAGACACGTAACCTCAGTGTGAATGGGGTTGCTTGAGCTCCCTCCTGTGTCTGCTTGTGTGATAAAGGTGGGCCTCAATGACAGACCTAAGCAGAAAAAACTCTTTAGTTGCCAGCTTAAAGTACTTCTGAATCTCCTATGCTGGCAATGCAGTGATGAAGAGAATATGGGGGAAAGTCTAGCAGGAGGAATAAGAAATATTCTCTTCAGTCTGGGAGGAGAAAAGTTAATTGCAACATAAAAATGCTATTATGGTAGTAATGAGAAATCCACTTGTGGAAAGCAAAGTGTCAGGCTAAACCTGCTATTTCTAAAATTTACTCAATAATTCAGGATTTCATCTAATAAAAAACCTTGTTTAAAAAATCTTTAAAAAAATTTAAACATTTAAAGAGAATATTACCTCTGTTAAGGTATTTGTGATTTTTTTTATCTCTCTTTTCTGTGATTTTCACTGAGACCGGAAATCTCAGTATTTCAGAATTTCATATCAGTGGTCTTTGAAGATGATATTTTAACCCTGTTTTGCCCCCTTTCCCCTTCATTATATTATAGAATACTGGAATGAATAACTTCCAGCTGATTTATTTTTCTGTTTCTGTGTTACTTTGGTTGTTTCTTTTACCACATTGTCAGGCTTCCAGGGCTGAAAAAGAATTGAAGAGGTGCATTGTGAGGAAAGGGAAAACACACAAACTCCACAATGGAAAAAGAACAAAGCAACCTAAAATCTTTAGTTTCTCTGGGTTAAACTGCAAAATGCAGAAAAGAGGAAAGAGAAGGGGATTCTTTCCTTCCCTCAAAATAAGAAAACTGAACTTGAGAGGCTGTGTGGCCAAATGAAGGCCTTGTGTGCCTTTAAGTTTCTCTTTTTCCTTGAGGTACCTTGTGAGCCCTACGAGAAGGGCTTTCCAACAAATCTTGCTTTCAAGGATCAACTGCTTGTAACTTTGAAATTATTTTTGAAAAGAGGAGGAAAAACCAACCGAAAAAGGCAACCCTGTGAATGGAGAGCATTCACAGAGAGGGCAGATGCTCCCCACCTGGTGGTTTTATTTCATCCACATCTGATTCCATGTTGTTCTGGTGCCAGCCAGAGGGCAACTGAGTGGGGTCAATAACAAGGTGTGGTCATCAGTCTCTTAACTGGCTTAAGAGAGAAATCCCTTGGGAATCAAACTTACCTTTCTTAATTGCTTAAAAAGGACACAATAGTTTCAGCATAGCCACTCTGATGAGCAGGGGAGTGGGCACTTCCTGTGGAATGTATATCTGTATAAAGAGGTAGGAGGTGTGGGATGGCCAAAATCCTGTTCAGAATTTTGCCTTTGGTATAGAGAGGCAACTTCAGATCTATTTTACAAATGGAAAACTGGGAAAGAAGTTTCAAATTCCAGGGAAAGGGAAATCAGTGCTGGCTTGAACATTAGAACTGCTACCTTTCTCTCTGTTTGGACTACAGTCAATCTCTTCCAGATTAATAATCATAATAGAGCCTTTGAGCTTTTATCAGACCATCTGATCTGATCTAGCCTGTAGATGTGAAGATGAAAGGTTAATCCCCAGGGCCATCTGCTTTCCTTTACCTTTTCTGTCTGAATGCATTGTTTCTTTGTCTTGCCTGCCCACTTTTGGCATGTCTC